CGTTAGGTTTCCTGACTTTCAAATAAATTTGCACTTCCTGAGTAAAACGTTTAGAATCAAATTCCTATTTTCTGGGCAATGTTTCCTTTATTAGTGATAGAATGTGAATTTTCTGCATCGGAGATAAAAGACTCAAATGATTTTTGAAGGCCTGGGATAGTTGTTACAAAGCTAAATTTTAATGAGTGAAGTGTAAATGAATTAGAAACACGCGTCTCAGATTTCTTATTAAAATATACATGAGGTTACAGGTTATGGAGAAAAATGCTTGGCAAAGTCCATCTTGGCAGTTGCCAACCTTAAAGCATTTGAGACGTTTTATCAGTTGTCCGAATAGCAGATGGAAGCTTCTTTCTTCCATCCTCTGCCTGCATCACTTGAGTTCTTTTAGGCTTAAAATGCGTTTCCGAGATTCACTTCTTTTGCACGTTTGTTATTTGTTATTCCCAGGCACACACGTACAAAGTACAAAGGTAATGTTCCCCCAGATTCTGGGGAATATATATTCAGCGGTTTGGTGTCTTGTCAAGGAAGATCTGCAAACCCAGGCAGACTCCTCTCTCTGTTCACACAGAACATCTTCCATCCTTGCAAACTTAACATTTGCACCAAACACCTTTGAGTGCCTGTGACGGCCGGGAATTAATTCTAAGGAGTACATTATAGAGATATGCTTTAAACCCCATTTTTTAGGGTTTATGTTTAAATACATGGCCAGGCTTAATTTTGTTTTTTTGTTTTCTTTTAGTGAAAGGTAGAAAGTGGACAAACTATTTGAAATGTGTGACATGAAAGAATTCTTTGTTTAATTTATTCTAATGCATGTATTGGAGAAAACAGATCTCTGCTATGTTGAAGTTCAGAATATTTTATCATACAACTGAAATCGTCATAAGAAATAACTGTTCTTCTAAACCACAGTGTATGCAGCCCCCTAGTTTTTTTTTTTTTTTCTTTTGCAGTTTTTGGCCGGGGCTGGGTTTGAACCTACCACCTCTGGCCTATGGGGCCGTCACCCTACTCCTTTGAGTCACAGGTGCCACCCAACGGCCCCCTAGTTTTAAGATGAAAAGTTAAATGGACAATTCAGCCTGAAGTGGTTCCTCATGAAATCAAAAGGAAACATTGAAAACAAAATCCCATGTTAGGTACTTAGATGCCCGGTTTCTATACTGTGAACGTTGTATAAATCCAACCAAGCAAATAAGAAAATGTGTTAGTTCTGATGACTTTGACATCATTATTTAATTACGATGATGCTGCTCTACAAGATCCTTTTGTTCTTGTGCTAAACTTTCCACCCCATTTACCAGATAACTTGCACCAAGCACTTAGATAGGATTTTACAGGCTCTAACAGAGCATCATCTTATTGATCCTTAAAGCTGCCATGAAAAGGGTCAATCAGACATTATAACGCAGGTAATATGACTGTGACCTTGAAAAATTTCCTTAAACTCTGTCAGCACTGCTGTCTTCATTATGACGCTTGCCACAGCACACAGGCTGTCCGAGGGATAAAGTTAGAGAAGGCATATAAAAATCTTCACGTTAACTATCCAGTGAATAGAAAATATTGTTGGTATTATTGCCTAGGGTCTTTGGTTATTAAGTGATGAAATCAGCATCAAAGTCTAGGTCTTCTACTGTTTCTCCAGTGCTCTGGAGGCTCCCCATTGCCCATAAGAAGGTTTCTAAAAGGATAATAGAAACCTCTGTGTTCTCCCTTGTGTTTATTTTCCTAGCCCTGTATTCTCAAACCTCTTACCCACTGGCACTCCAGCCAAGCCAGGCTGCTGGCAGACTGTCTCCTGCTCTTGTAGAGTACAGAGTGCATTAGGAGCTCTGTCTGTCTGCTGAACTCACACTCATTTGTCAGGACCCCTCTCAGTTGTCAAATGAGTAAAGCCTTGTGGTCCCCCAGGTAGACCTCTGGGGCCTCTGCCTCTGTATTGCCGTAAGATTTTCTTCATCCCTTTGTTCCATGACTGTTCCATGTCATTTTTTTAGGATTTTGTCTGTCTCACTCCTCCACAAGACTGTGGATGCTGTCACGTCAGGAATTTTGCTTCAGTAAACTCTGTCCCCTAGGTGTGTCCATCAGTGAGCACTTGTGAAATTGATTCCAGACTCAGTTTTCTCACCTTCATGATGCTGCCATGTAAGTTCAGAATGGCTTTGGCAGATCATAGAGAATGGGATCTCCAAATGATGTTTGATTAAACATTTAACCTGGTAGCTATGGTTCCCCTGGTTAAATATAGGCTCCTATTTCTAGAGAATGTTTCACCTCTTACCTCATGGTGGACAGGGATGCTGGCTACAGTATAAATGTTACCAACAACATCGTTCAACTTTTCATCAAATCTGCCGATTTCTCCACCTTTATTTCCTGCAAGTCTCACTTATTGTCTATGTAAAAGCTACACTGATGTCCCCTCAGTTGCAGAACACACCACGCTGTTTTTCCACATGGCATTTGCATGTAACACATTCAGCTTAGGAGAGTCTTCATACGGCTGCCTCCCTTTCCTGCCTCGGGTCTCATTAAACACCAACTACTTCCACACATGAAGAGTTATTTCATGGCATTTTCTAGCCATGATTTGTATATTTACAAATGTCATGAGTTTGTATATTTACTTGCTTATATTATGTTGTCTGTTTCTGACATTAGAAGTAAGTGACCACATCTGTCTTGTTGAGTATTGTTTTGCAACACTCCACAGTAATTGCATGTTGAATGAATAAAGAAAGAAAAACTGAATACAGTAAGCATGAGTATTACATGTGGGATGTCTATCAAATACGGTTTTTTAGCAAACTAAACAAATTCAGACAACAGAGAATTCACAAGAAGAACCAATCAGTTAAAGTCAGACAATTGGTTAATCAATCTATAATCACTCACAAAACATTTGTCAAACTTTGGTTGGGTGGAGTACTAAGCATGAAAAATGGGCCAGTATATAAGCTCTGACTTTCCATTGCTTTTAGGGTAATGGACACAGACTGGGTGACTTGGTCTGCAGGCCTTCTCAGCTTCAGGTGACCGTCCCTCTTGTGGACCTTGAGCCAGCAGCCCTCCTGGCCTTCTCTCCATGTCTACAAATCCATTCTTCTTATCACAAGCACCATCCCACTTTACTCCTTAAAAAAATTTACAAGATGAATTGTCTGATCTTCTCACAGTCTCCTGCTATTTCTTGTCTCTTTCCTAAGATTGCCCAAAGTTTCCCAATGACTGTGTCTTTTAGCCTGTGCCATTTATGCCAGGCTGTTGTTGCAACAGATGTTTGTATTTCCACCTCCCTTGGGACTCCTGTGACTTTCCATAAACCAGATTTTAAAAACCACACTCTCTTTCTTCTTTCTTTCTTTCTTTTTTTTTTTATCATGAGTACCCTAATGCAGCTTGAAATTGTCGTCAGTCTCAACAATAGAATAAGGGTGTTTGCCTCAGGGACCATGGTGGATATTTGATAGACTATGAAATGTTCATTAATGTGATGGAAGGGTGACTGGAGAAGGTCATAGAGAAGGAGAAGAAAAGTTAAAATGTGGAAGCAATCAGGTTGAATTTCATTGCAGAGTTTCATTTTAGTCCTTTAGAGTCTTCTGGGTAAATGCATCCCCTAATATTAGAATGCCTTTTGTAATATAAATACCATATTTTTACTAGCTGCACCGAGCAAATATTAGAGGAATTAATCTTCAGGAAAAAAAGATGGAATTTTATAGTCCCTCCCTCTTTGCCAAACAAGACCCTGCTTGTCCCTCGTGTTTTGACTGCATTAACATTTATGTTGTTTGCATACAGTCGGTGAAACAGCGCTGAATATAGTGTCTTTCCAAATTCATCCTGACATACCTTACAGTTCCCCAGTATGAACTGGTGATTAATGCAGCTTGTTATGTTTCTAGTGTGACTTTCTAAACATGACCCAGCTGTACTCATCTTCCAAACTTGAAAAATGAGAATTAGCTTTTCTTCATTTAACTTTTTCTAAAGTTTCTGCAGGATGGTGCTCATGTTACAGTTAAACATCAGCTGTATAGCTTTCTCTTTCTTTAGCTATTAGTCCCTTAGGTATAAGTCTGTAATCAAAGAGAGGTCAACTGGATCTGGATAAAAATATGCCAGAACGTCTCTGGCATAAATCTCTCCCTAAAGATTTCATTAGTGTTACTTCAGGAGATGGGGGAAAGTGCTAGGCTTTATCTAAAAATCTAAGATTTAATTCATTACAAAAATAAAACTGGGTTATTCTGTGATCCGTACAGAGAGCTTTGCAAGCTCAGGATTTCCATGGTACTCATCAGGTTGTTTTTCTTTTCACTAAGTTGGAAAGCACTTAAACAATCACAGCCAAAATACAGCTACCTGGGAACTCTATGACACTATTGACAAACATTCCTATGTTCTTATAGACTACAGAGGGGACAAGGTAATAAAGTGAGCCTCAGAGTCATTACACAGTATCCAAGTAATTTTAGAAACAGCTCAGGGCCGGTTCTCAACAAAATTATGAAGTAGGCAGATAACATCTTTCCATTTAGATGTAGTTGTTTGTCTAAGCTTCTGAATTTCTTCACTAATGTTTAATTATTCTATTGCCAATAATAGTCATAAAGCAGAATGGCTCTTATGAGTATGTACATTTAACTATTCCTATATGTAAATCCAGGCCTGACTTAGATTGTATCTTGAAGCCAAGAGGCTTCCCATTATTCCAACAAGAAGTGAGTTCCAGGGGTCACACAGAAAGCTGGTGTTTATGAGAACATCCCTCCCTCTTATTGTTCATACAAATCCTAATTCAAAAGTCATTTAACACAGTTTCACTACTGGGAAGATACTCATCAAAATCTCCTATTTGCAGATAATCATTATGAGTATAAACAGGTTGTCTATCAGTCGATGCCATTAATATCTTGCTGTTCAATTTACTTATTACTGTTTCTTTTCCTTCTCTCTTGCATTATGAACTAATTTTTCAGGCTGGTGGTTTGATGCCTGTGGTCCCTCCAATCTAAATGGAATGTTCTATACTGCGGGACAAAACCATGGAAAACTGAACGGGATAAAGTGGCACTACTTCAAGGGGCCCAGTTATTCCTTACGCTCCACAACTATGATGATTCGACCTTTGGATTTTTGAAAGCACAATGTCAGAAGCAACTCTCAACCAAGAAATCTGGAGAAGCAACCAGATGAGAAACTGATTGGAAGCTTCTAAGGCAGCGGTTCTCAACCTATGGGTCGCGACCCCTTTGTAACAATGAAAATGCATCGTGGCATTCGGAAGGTTGAGAACCACTGTTCTAAGGCAAACAATATTGTTTCCAGCAACAAGTGGTAGTTATGTGACATCACCATTGTTCTTATCTCTGGATTAGGAGCCTTTCGAGTTCACAAAAGTCTACCTGGGGTCCCTGTATTCATATGGCTTGACTGTAGAGATTGTCACTAACTGTCATGCTTTAAAAAGGGAAGAAACTGCTCAGCTTGCTGTACTTCAAACTACTACTGGATCTTATTTTGGAAGTATGGTAGCCAGATGATAAATATGGGCTACTTCATGTAAAACAGAGAAAAAAAGAAAGAAAAAAATATACATGAAGAATAGGAAGACCTACCATAATCCTTTGAAAAAGATGTATTACATCAGCCAGAGGTGTTATATCTATGCAAACCTACAAACAGTAAGTGTATACTGTTGCACAATTGTAATAAAAGTTCGGGAAAAACAGAATTGCCCTCTGAGTTTGCTAAAGGTTAATGGATTTCAAAAATCTAATCCCAATATCATACTTCGTAGCTGATTTCAGTTGACCCTTCCAAATTCCATTTTTGTAAGCCATAATGAATTGTAGTGTGCGGAGAACAACAGTGTGAGATACAAACAAATTTCATTACTTTTTGAGTTTTTTGATACATTTTTCAAAAAAAAATGGACATATCAAACAAGGACGTACGAAGTGAAAAATCACACCCCCCCCCATGCTGTGGTTTTTATTATTCTAAAAACTGACTGATATATAAATATATTTATAGCCTGCGTAAAGCTTAAAGAATGTGAAATATATCAAGTTCTTGAAATAATATACATACATTCAATATTTCCTTTGATATTATACAGGAAAGCAGTATTTCAGAGTGTATTCAGTTGGGATAAAACCAAGTAAACTGGAGCAGTTCATTTTACACTATCTTCCTGCATGTGTATACATATGTTTAACGTCATTATTTGAAAACATTTTTAGAACTTCAATTCTTTACCCAGTTATTTCTTGCTAATTTAAATTTTGCAAATTAACTGAAACATGCTTACCAGATTTACACTTTTCCAGTTTCTGTACATGTTTTGAAGTCTATGAAAATAGAAGAATTATAAATATCATTGTACATAGAATGTTTATATCCACAATAAACCTAAGCTGTTTAATGTGTAATATGCAGCACTCTCCTTAAGGGACGCAAATAAAGATAAGGGTTCAAAGAAATCTACCATATTACTTAATGAAATACGTTGTTGCTCATGTTTTTCTCCTTCAGACAATTCATAATTTTTAAAAATGATTAGTGGAGGGAATTGTCAAAACTTACTCTATCATATGTGAAACACACAAACAAGATAATTAATCATAGTCACCTGAGTAACAGAAATTCTGACTTCTAGCTGCTATAAATCTCTTAATAAAAAATATTCCTATGGGATAATCTATTTTAAATGAATTTGGGGGCACAGATTTTTGTGGCAACTTGAAGATACTACAGTATTTTATCAAAAAGTGCTCTCTGCCTCTAAGTATCCAACGTTCCAATAGTAAACAGTTGTTATAAAACCATGAGTTACTATGGGATGAGAAAATTGAAACAGGTATTGGTCTCCTTTCTTAGAAAAGAAATAAATTATTTTCAAGGTAACAATACCAATTTGGGGGTTGGTGACTTGATCCATTATGCCCCCAGCAACCTTCCTCCATTTGAGAGAATGGAGCTATATACTTTTTTAAGAAAAAAATTTTTTAAGTTTACCATCAAGCCTTTTGTATATTTATGTGTTTGTATACAATCTCTTCTTGCCTTGCAAGTAATATTTGCATTCTACAGTTTTTCTATTCTTAGTGGTTCCTTCATAGCACATTTAAGCCTCTTTCTCTAACAATCTACTCAGTTGTTTTCATTTAAGGGAAGGAAAATGCGTGTTTTGTTCTTTTGTGTTCTTACAGATTATTATTTTTTTTTAACCAGTCTTTGGATAAGGAATACTATCTACAAACTCATGTTACAAAAATAAAATGAAATAACAAATAAAAAAGACAGCATGATATTTACTGTTTTGTTATCTGGATTTGAAAAATGATATATTGTTTTCAATTATTTATAATAAAGCAGTATAAAACACTTATGACTCCATCATGTGAATTGTGTAATGCCTACGTATTTATGGCAATTTAACATGTGTGTTCTTGCATTTAATTATCCCAGAATTGGATAATTAGGTATTAGCATTTTGTCTATAAATTTTTATATCAATAAAATACATATGGTTTCGATGCAAATTTCTTCATATTAATCACACTATTTGATTTAAATGAAATTGAAAATACCTGTGCAACTTCATCTCATATTAAATACATGTTTTGCAAAATTTAAATTAGAAATCGATGAAAATATGGAATCATTGGATAAACATTTACCAAGTGAATTAATGTCTCAGTCTTTAAAAAACTTTCAGCTTGGGATGAAATAAGAAAGCTTAGCTCCGTTCCATCTACTCGGTATTCCCATCAAACAATGTAGCTGCATGCTTTCTATTCTAAAAATGACATATATTTTTCCCCTTTCTGTATCCATGCCCTTTGCAATATGACTTTGCAGCTTGTTTCATAAAGGGGTCAAGTCTACTTTCTCATCCCCTGAATGGCTGGCTCAGGACTGGCCGCAGCCAGTGGAGCACAGCAGGTGTGACTGCGTGATAGTTCTGAGTCTGGTCAGCAACATTCTACTTTTGCCATGAGAAAAAGCCCAGAGTAGCCTAATGGCAGATTGGAGACCACACAGAGCAAGTCCTAGTCCAGTGGTTGAGACCACCATACACCAGCCACATGGTTGACCTGGTGATTCAGATAACATGGCCTGAACCAAGTTCAACCACGCCTGGCTCTGATCAGCAAACCCACCCACCTAACTTGCATAATCATGATAAACAATAAAGTGGTGTTGTTTTAAGCCACTATATTTGAGGGTATTTTGTTAAATATCATTATTATAGCAGCAGCCGGCAGATACAGAATGCAGTACTGCAGTCCCTACCTGCGCCAGCCCCAGTCATGTGATCCTGAGTTTTGAGAGCCATTCTCTCAGTTGCCTTCCTTCAGCTCAAATGGACAAAACAATCTTCTAGAATGTATTAAAACATTAGGTCCTTCATGACTCCCCTTCCCTTGCCGCCTTCTATTCTCACCTCTCTACACTCACATGGTCTTACATCTCTTAATGTATTTTGTTTCAATTTATCTTACGCTCCCTACTATGTTATAAGAGGCTGTCTCTTAGTAATTTTTTTTATTCCCCCAATACCTTAGGAGAGTCTTATTATTTGTTGAAGGAAACTGAATTGGTCTGAAAGACTGAACAAGCTGCTATATCTATACAAAATCTAGCATCCATATTAGACCACTATATCAAGTCACTTATTTTCAGATTTTAAACCTCACCCATTCTTCTCCGGAGAAGGATGTTCAAATCTATAAATTTAGTTATCTAAGAAATTTGTTTTATTGGTAACTTTGCTGGGATATATGTATTTTGTAAATTAAAGGAAACCTACATGCTAGTTGTAATTTTAAAAATATGTAAATATACGAAATGTAGGGTAGATTGGTAATTATTCATTGATTCTTTACACATTATTTTAATGTAAGATAATTATTTATAACATATATTCAGGCAGCTTATTTTCAGCTATATGATTTAAAGTCCAACAAAAGTCTTTTTTCTAATTGTTTTGGCTCTTTTAGAAAAAGTAGCCTCTTCTAATTCAAGTCAGTATTTTCTGATCATCACTTTATCACTTACTATGTATCAGCTTTTGAAGTTTTGGTAGTGAACATCATAAAGAGATTCCTAGGAAAATCTGGCATTAAACAAGTCATTATGTCTCAGACATTCTTTCAGCATTGCAAGGGATGGGCTTGTGTCTCATGAGGAGTAAATGACAGGTAACAGAAAAGAGTTATTAACTCTCAGGTTTTTCTTTTAATCCAGGACAATCTCAAACTCTGATATATTAACGCTCAGTAAAATGTGAAAGTGTATTTTATTTTATTATTTTATTTTATTTTGATACAGAGGCAACTGATTCCTAATACCTTTTACAGACAAGCTCCTGTTCTGCTCCTGAGACCAGTCTGCCTCTGGCCCATCCCTTCAGTCTATTTTGGCCCCTGGGGGGGTCCACTTTGCATGTGGTGAGAGTCGAAGCTGGGAGGGCACCATGGTCAGGCAGCTGTGCCACAGAATTACTGTGACTACCTTACATTAGTTTCTCTTCTACAAATTAAATTTTTAAAATATGAATTCACTTCTGAGATATGCTATAAGAAATTAGAATCAACCAAAAAAAGAGGTTAAACTATGTAAGTTAAAAATGAATTTAAAAGAAAATATTATAAGCAGGTAGTATTCAATTGCATGCTCTTTAAAACAATGTGTAAACATTAAACAGTAATGTAAAATAGGGCCAGGCATGGTGGCTCAAGACAGCTCAGCAAGTGGGAGGCTGAAGCAGGTGGATCACCTGAGCTCACAGGTTCAAGACCAGCCTGAGCCAGAGCCAGACCACATCCCTAAAAACGGCATTGTGGTGGGCGTCCATAGTCCCGGGTAATGGAGAGGCTGAGGCAAGAAAATTGCTTAAGCCCAGGTGTTTGAAGTTGCTGTGAGCTATGACACCATGGCACTCTGCCAAGGGTGACAAAGACTCTGTCTCAAAATGAATAAATAAAATGAGTAAGAAGAAAATCATTACGGCTCTAAATTAACTTGACTATTTCCATTTGAAGAAAGGTACATACAAGCTCTCTCTTTGAGAAATCAGTGTGTACGCTTAAAGGCAGAACGTGAATTACATGTATTTAACAAACATATTCAGCAGGTACTAGCTGAATTGCATAGAGCCTCAGGGATGAAGTATTAGGAAGGCACTGCAGCAACAGATAATTAAGGCATGTGGATATTCCGATTAGTGAGAAAAACAAGAAGACATAAATGAGTGCTACAAAAATTTTAATATTAGCAGAATGCTGAATCTTCTGCAAGAACAGAGACAGGAGTGATTACATCTGTTCAAGGACGTGTTCTCTGTAGCTGTGTATAATAGTAATATATGTAAAGAAAAAATGAGAAATTACTGTGCAATAGTGAACTTCATATATAGATGTTTTAAAGTTAACAGAAACACACAGGATCCCCTCAATTTGCACAAATTTTCATAGAAAATGGCATCTAAATTTTCTTTTGAAAGTTTTCTGAGAGTTTTCAGAAAGACAGAGGAGGAACTGGAGAGGCACAAAGGTGTCAGAAGTCCTGGAGCTACGGAGAACTGCAGTCGGTGGACACAAATGGACTGCAATGTCTGTGCTAAGCAGTGTACCAGGAGGTGGGGCGGAGAATGAGGTCTTTAAGTCATGTCTTCAAACATAGGTTTCATCTTTCTAAAGGGCGATGAGGAACTG